TGTATATATATGTATATATATGTATATGTATATATGGACTTTATGTGACTCTTGGTGTTTTTTTCAGGGAATAGCTGGCAGACTTGGAGGTCCAGGCAGAGACGGACCAGCAGGATCCAGAGTGAGTCACCTTGCAAATATTACTGTCACTGTGTGCAATGGGGGGGGGGGGGTTGACCCTTCAGAAATTGAAACCTCTCTTTAGATATTAATTATTAATTTAGTTTTCAATCTAAATCTAGATTTAATTTAATTCTGTTGCACCAAAACCTTAAACCCTCACGTACAAGAGATTTAACTCTGAAGAAAGTTCAGGGACAAACTCAACCCAGTTGAGTTTTATGATGCTGCTGAATTTCTGTTTAATTTAACTTTAACTCGCTTTTTACTGAGCTAGCTGGCTTGTTTGCAGTATTTCACATTGTACTAAGCCATTACACTTAGTAGTAGTATTACACTTTGGATATTACAAGTGGAATCATGTACTACTTCCCTCTACAACTACTACTCTTGTATACTGCACCACTACTGTACTTCTATCAGCTGTACTAATACTACTAGCGCTAGCTATATTTCTGCTACAGCTACTTCTACTTATATACTACTTCTCCCACCAATGACTTCAACACATTTCAAAACCTATTTAGAAGCGACTCGCTGAGCCGAGCGATGAAACTGCCAGAAGCAGCGTCTTCCTAAATGCTTTTTGTTTGTTGTCTCCTCCACAGGGACTGCCGGGTAAAGACGGGCCGCCAGGCAGACCGGGTCCCTCAGGAACTATCGTGAGTGCAGGTTTTAAATGTCGACTTTGTTCGTGTGTTGTGCTTGTGATTCTCCTTCTGGACTCCTGAAGGTTGATTTTAATTGGAGCTGTGACTGGAGGAGATAATTATGCAGCTTCTGGGACGTTTTTCTTCTTCCAGGTAAAGATGCTTATTAAAGTTGAGCAGTGAACAGGCGAGGAAGTGCCGACTCTACGCTGTCTTCTTCTTCTTGTTTTTTAAACATGGCACTGATCCAACTGAACATTCCTGTAAAATCACCTGAAAGCTACGTTTTGCTTCCAAAGCTGCAGAATCGATCGAGAATCAAGCACCGGGAAGTGTTTTATTTTTAGACACGTTGATTTTGAAACAGTATGAATTCATATTAAATGTGGACTTTTATTCTGTTTCCTGTTATAACAGTTCACATCCACTGCTGTGTGGAGTAGTTGTGACAAGCAGCAGTGGAAATATGAATGTATGCATCACAATAAGTGGCGTTGTATATTATATTTACACGTTTTAGCTTCTTTGTTTGAAGTGGACTCTGACTGTGATTCTGTGTCTCTTTAGGGGACGCCAGGAGGCCCGGGGGCCCAGGGTAACACGGGCCCTTCAGGGAAACAGGGAGATCTGGGACCATCGGTGAGTCGACTTGTCCGCCTGTAAAGAAGGAAAACACACCTCACCTCTCTGACAGAAGGCCGCTTCACAAACAAAATATAAGGAAGTCACGTCAGTCAGGCTTAACGGAGACACAAAGAGTGTGTGTGTATGTGTGTGTCTCGGAAGGATTAACAGGATTAACAGCTTCCTGTCCGGTCTGAAGGTCCACGAGTCTGTCAGTCACACACACACACACACACACACACTTCCTTTGACTGTTTTCCTCATACCTCTCACTCAACAAAGAAAGACCAACTGATGAGGACAGATCCTCTCTTCCTGTCTCTTCATCCCTCTGTGAAGACGTTTTTAACAGGACGAATAGTTTGAACTAATCTTAGTTTCCAGGTTTGTACATCAACTATACTAATAATCTTTAATGCACGGGGATTTCCTCTCTCAGAATCCGTGCAGTAAACAGTTTAACTCCGGCTGTTTGTTCACTGTTCATACAGCACATGAGAGAACTACTGATTCACCTGCTGTATGTCTTAAAGGAGCTTTGTTATAATAAAGAAGAGGAAACGCTGATGGATGATGTTTAAAACATAGAAATATTACATATTATATTATCAGAAACAAACATTTTTGGAGTCTAAACTAAACGAATGACTATCAGAAGAAAAGGCTCACATGAAATCAGAGGATATTTATTTATTTATTCATCAAATGTTTAATTTTGTTATTTGAAAAACGAGTGAACAGGTTATTATGAATCACCTCTCATCTTGTGAGGAAGGAGCCTGGAGGAAGTAAAACATATCAAATAAATACCCACAATTGACATCATTTTCGACGTTTTCATGGTAACGTGATATGTTGCAGCAAAGTGCCGTCCCATTTGTATTCACACCATCTCAAGCGCTCACAGCCTCTCACACTCACCAGGTGACGTCAGTGAGTCCCTGAGGGTTCAGGGTTTGAGGTCTTAGGGGGGTCATTAGGACTGGAGGAGCGGAAACCCAACCAGGAAGTGGTGACGGGCACAGAACTACACATCCTACTTCTGCTTATGCGTAAACAAATAAACCCACGCTAAAAAGGTCATCCACGTGGGAGAGTTCCATCATCGAGTCTTTTTGTGTGAATGTATGAGAAGAAGTCTTTTATCACATTGTTTCTAACAGAGTGTTCTGTGTGAGAGCCGCTCTCTGCTTTGACATTCATTCCCTGATTAAATGAAACGCTCGCAGACAGTGAATCACATGTAAACCGCGCCGCCGACGAACGAATGAGATTCAGTGGGAGGTGAAAACAAACTGCTGACAAAGAGACATGTTGTGAAGCGTGTAATTACTGCTGCGTGGGTGGACTGCACCGAGCCTTAACTAACTACCACACGCTGTCAATTGCAGGTCTTGATGTGAACTTATCAGAGTAAAATAAAAGAGTTCAGGTTTTAGAAAATACACAGTTTGAACAAAGATTGTTGTTTTTTTTATAACGACTCAAATGAAAGTCAAAAGAAAAGTTAGTTCAACGAGCTCAGATTCTGTCTGGTGAAGGAAACACATTTCTCAAACGATTTAGATCAGATTTAGAAAATTACTTTTATTTTTTATTTTGTTCTCTCAGGGCTTCCGTACAGATACGTAAAAACTTCTAAAATGTCAAACAGCACGTCCAAACTAGATCTTGCAACTTGATTCAATGCATTTTACTGCTGCGGTTACAAATTAAGACAAAGTCAACGATGGAAAAAACTAAAAGGTGATAATTGTCAGTCTTAAAAGCAAACAATAATCATTAAAATCCACAGTTCCCTCGTCGTTATGGAGGTAAGAAAACCTTCCAGAGGCTCAGAGTTAATCAAAGGGACTCAACAAGACGGGAGGAACAAAGTAATCCAGACTTGTAAGAGGATTCGTGAGCTAGAGAATCATTTTGCGTTTGCGTGAATTTCCGTAACATCTGAACCGGTTAAACTTCACAGCTTTGTTTCTGGGTTTTTATCCTCTTCTCATTGATTCTTCTCTGTTGCAGGGTGTTCCTGGAAGCAAAGGGGAGAGAGGTGAACGGGTAAGTGGTGTCGTTTATGCAAAGATGGAAATAATGAACGACTAAAGTTACTCCGCTCTTTTACTCGCCGGCAATGTGGGTTTCCTTCAGAACAGAACATGAAGAGCTGCGAGATAAAAAACTAAAACGACTCGCAGGTTGAGCAGAGCATGAACGCTCGTTTTAACATTCCCTTTAAAGGTTTAGTCAGTTAAAAATGTGAAATGTGAAATTTGCAGGCGTCAAAAAAGACAAATAAAGTCAATGGGAAGACAAAAATGGAGGCAAACAGACAAATATTCAGTCCGGATGACTCCAACTGAGAAGTGTCCCCTGGAGCTTCAATTTCACTAAACAAGTAAAGTTATCTTTAGTTAGATGTTTAACTGCTCTAAATAGAGTTCAGGTTTTGTGTTGTAGCATTAAGGTTTGTTCTGTCAGACAGGGAACCGGCTCTCTGGCTGTTTGTCTGACACCTAAGTCGGGGTAAACATGAAATGTCTTCAATAAAAACTATAAAAATAGAACATGAGTAGAACACATATTGGACTGTTTTTCGTGGTCATTTGGCATGTACAGAAGAAAACTGTTTCATTGCAATTGTTTATGCGATTGTTGTTAGTTGTTATGGGGACGACACACGTCAATAAAGGCTGTAAAATTTTGCCGCATCTCGTCAGGAAGAGAGCGAACGCAACTTTGGAGACGGATGGCCGGCTAGTTAGCTAGGTAGCTAACGTTAGCTTGTCCTTCTCCGGAGTAGAGGCGAGTGTTAGCAAGCTAGCTTAACTAGCCAGCTGTGTGCTAGTTAGCTAGCTAAGTTTTAATTAATGTGTTCATGGCAGACTCTTGTAGAGAATCAAATGTTCATGCTAACATCTCAACATCTTTAATGACCCTTGGATCTTTGCTGTTTACACTTTCTTTGATTTTCTCCCATACTCCGCCATTTTGTCTCTTCCCCATGATGCATTGCGTGACAGTCCATCAAAGTCGGTCTTACATTAGTCGCTTTGCTTTAAAGAGATTGATGCAACCGGTACATTTAAGTGTCAAATCTCACTCAGACTTGTATTTAAGACAAAGACTATAAGTCTGTTTTTATGCAACCAAACACAATAACAAGTATGATTTAAGAAATATTCATACACAAACACATTGTGATATTAATCGATGGTACAGATTGTACAGAACGTCAATTTATTTGTTAAAAAATATACATCTGGACACTTTATTTAAAGTCGTGGTCATCAATGTACGTCAGTGCAGAAGGGAAGTCTAGATACTAACAATACAAATATGAATATAGTTCTGCTCGTGTGTCTTCAGGGGGACCTCCAGTCGACGTCATCAGTTCAAGCCATCGCCAGGCAGGTCTGTGAGCAGCTGATTCAGAGTGAGTCAAAACACCTTCTGTATGTTGGGTTTGAGGGACCCGAGACCTGGTTTTAGGGTCAAGGTTAGGATGTGGTTCTGGTTAGTGTCAGTGGCTAAAGGATGCATCGTCAGCACGGACGCATTAAGAGACAGCGGTCCCCTGGACGTAGACGTGCAACACGTCCCACCATCTTTTCTACAGACGATACAAGACAGACAGACCTTGTTGTTCAGCCTCTGTTTGTATTTTGTGTCTCTTTGTGTTCGTTTTATTTTTGTTGCAGTTATTTCTTTGTGTCTCTCTGTGGTTGTTTTGTTCCTTGTGAGTCTTAGTGTGTCTGTTTTGCTTCTCTAGTTGAGTCAGTAAGGAACTTCTCAGGTGTAGAAATAAGGTTTGTGACTCCATAATCCGGAATATTTAATCCGGTTTGTTTTTGGAAACATGTCCCCTTTGTTTCTGTGTTCAGGCCACATGGCACGCTACAACTCCATCCTGAACCACGTGCCCAGTCCACCGGTGTCCATCCGCACTGTGCCAGGACCCCCAGGAGAGCCCGGCAGACAGGGGACCCCGGGGACCCAGGGAGAACAGGGACCCTCAGGAAGACCCGGCTTCCCCGGACAGAACGGGCAGAACGGCCAGCCTGGAGAGAGAGGTAAAGGGGCGAACACATGGACTGAGAGTCGCAGGTGGTGTCTAGAAGGTTTCAGATGTTGATACTGAGGGATTAAAACTACCATAAGTCAACTCCTTGATACAGAAATAAGATGATTGATAACACGAGCATAAATCCTGTTACAACACTGTTTTACCTGTGTGTGTGTGTGTGTGTGTGTGTGTGTGTGTGTGTGTGTGTGTGTGTGTGTGTGTGTGTGCGTGCGTGTGTGTGTCCAGGTCAATTGGGAGAAAAGGGCGAGAAAGGACCTCAAGGCGTTGGAGTCCAAGGCCCCCGAGGACCTCCAGGACCCCCTGGTACATTAAACCACACCATTCACCAGAAGCTCTCGATCTGGTCCTCCAGGTGGTTTCTTACTAACTCCTCCTCCTCTCCTCTCAGGTACCCAGGGGCAGGGCAGACCTGGCAGCCAGGGTTCATCGGGGCGACCTGGAAATCCTGGGTCTTCTGGTCGGCCCGGTGTCCCCGGACCCATCGGCTCCGCCGGGCCTCCGGGCTACTGCGACCAGAACTCCTGTGTGGGCTACAATGTTGGAGGTACGTAGGGTCCCTTAAATAAATATGACTACACTAGTTTGATCAAAAATGATTCAACAATAATAGTTTATAGTTTCTACTATATTCTCTCCTTGTTATTGATGTTTCATTGAAGGAACTGTCAGTATAAGTGAAGTAATCGTATCTACTAGACTGCTGTGTAATTACAGCCGCTGCGCGCCAAGGTTGTTATTAGAACAACAGAACTTTCAAGTAATTTAATTAAAAATCATAAATGACACACTTAGTATTCATGCCTTACTTCTGCTGTATGTAATTATAAGTTAATTATAGAATAAAACCTCCACCAGCTTGTTTAAAAGCTGGTGGAGGCACGTCACTGAAGTCAAACATTTGAGGGAGAAACGTGAAACAAATAAAATCAAAGTCAGGATGCAGTCTGAAATGCATGAGGAACGAAATTGTGTTTTATGTAGAAATTTCATTTGATAAGTTCAGCTTGTTTTTTCCCCCTGAAGGGTCACTTCCCCTGAATCATTAAACAGATGAAGCTGTAAACATTACACGACGATATATTACTTTTGTTTCATTTGGTCTCAAAACCTCAGCAAGTAAAGTTAAGACAGTTGTACTCAGTGGGGAAATGTGTTTATTGTGATTTGGTGAAGCAGCCGTTTAAGCTGCAAACATGGAACAAGAGGAACGACCTATTGAGCAGATCACTGACTGAACTCTGCGTCTTCACACTTTATGACTTGACTTGTGTGTTAAGTCACTCTGGGTTCAATGTAAAGATGCTGCATGGAGGGTTTTCTTCTTCATGTATTTCACTTTTAAACACTCCAGAACTCGGCATGCGAACAACAAATGGCAGCTTTTCTATCTGCTACATGTTCATTTGCTCTCCAGCGTCCAGACCAGCGATTTGTTTCCGTTATTTGCGGGAAAAGACGGGAAATGATGTCACAGTTAGCATCACAGTACTCTCGTCCCGAACACAGATCAGCAGATGTGACTGTTTAACTCTTGTGCATCACTTCAAACAAAGTCTCTGAAGTCTTTAGAGCAGCGATTCCCAAAAACATGAAACAAATGAACAGAATTTCTTTCATAGTCGTATTTATTTATATCTGCAGTTCACCTTTAAGCCACATGGGGGAGCCTGGATGTTCGTATTGTTCTGGTAATTGTACTTTGAGTCTAATATAAACGTCTGGAGTTCATTCTGTTTGTTTAACTGATGAGAGGAAATACAAAGAATGAGATCGTCTGTTAACTCCACCTAAATAGATTGATTTGGTCACATTATAAAGTATTTAACATGTGCATATGTTTTCAATCACATGCATTAATCAAACGTATATCTCTTCAAAACAGCTGTTTATCTGGAAATGGCAGAAAAAATGATCATGAATTCATCCATAAATTCACTCCTCTGTCAGTGTGCAGACAGAGCCTGTTGGGAAACGGGTCTCGATGAGTTTTTGGGGCTTTTTAGAAACGTGTCTCCCCCCCCAAAAACAAAACGTTTTAGAAGCACTGCTCTAGAGGACAACAATGTATGTAAGAAATTATTATTCCCCACTTTTAATGAGTTAAATCTCCTAACTTCAATCTTAATCATGATTACTGAATATGAATTCATTTTCAGAATGTAAACCCTCTAAATGTTTGTTACCGCTGCTGTTTGTTAATGGAAAAAAAAACACAACAACATATAATTCTATTATTGTTTTGCTCCATAATGCAGCAGTGATGCCCCTAGTGGACACCAGGAGAATAACATGTGTTTACCCCACAGGGCAAACATGAGAACATCTGTTGGAAAATAATACAACATTGAAGCCAGGGCTTGAGATCAAAAGCCTGATAGAATAGAATGATTGATTTTATGCGTTGTGGTTTGAATGGGTTTAAATGGGGACATTTGTGTCCTTAAGGGTCTGAGTGATACGTGAGTATTATAGGAGCTGAGGTTAAACGTCCAACATGTATTCCATATGCATCAACACAAACAGAGTGTCCCTGGTGATGCACAAGGGTTAAACACTGCAGCTATATTGATGTATATTGAACCATGTCATTCATTCTAACAGTTCCATAGCTGAAGAAACCCAGCATGACTCATCTTTACCTGTTAAATGCATGATTGTGTTAACCCTGGATGTACGTTGAGGTTAAAGGTCACACAGCGGCCTAAGAGCTGCTGCTCAGCTCGCTGCCTGCAGGGCCGTCATGTGAGTAACGTCTGCATGTTGTGATCTTTCCTCCGTCTTTGTGTCCGTCCGTCCGTCACCGCCTCGTTTTTCAACATCTCACGTCTTCTTAACCCTCCGCTCAGTATTTCAGTGACGACTGAAACCACAGCGGAGCTTTTTTATCTTTATCTGCTGCAGAGGCTGTAAAACGCTGCAGGTGTCACATCATGGGACAGACACGTAATGTGATGTACAGTAAATATAAGACCGTTATAAAGTGGTGTACAGGCAGAAACAACACGACAGGAACGCCAGAAAATAATCTAAATTAAAACAATAATTAGAGTTAATTAAACAAATTGTGCTAGTTTCTGTTATTGTCCGTTCTCATCTCAACTGAAATCAAATCTTTATTTTTTAAAAGATAAACCACAATGGTAAACGATGAAGCTGGTCTTATTGTTTATTCTCCTTCATTTATACAACTTAAAGACCAAAGACGTCAATTAGTTCGTCCAGCTCTCAATGCTCTCATTCATGCATTCATATTTAATATTTGAGTCTTTTCATGGTAAGAAGACGTGTTCTTTAATCATCTTCTCCTGACTTCTCCTTCTAGATGATGATCATCCAGGGCCTCTATTTTAAACCACAAGCTTCACCGACTCAATAAAAACTCCTGTAACATTAAAAAAAACTCTTTAAGAGTTATTAATCTGCACGACAACTTAATAGAGATGCTGCACGTTGTTTTAACCTTGCGTGTGTAGATACCTTTAAAAAAAATCACGTGAAAACCTTTAATTGTGACAATTTGAATGTGAATTAATTCCAATAGTGTATTATGACCATTGAGGGTGAAAATATAAATGATTACAGAGCCAGAGCAGCAGGGGAATATTCACAGAAAAAAACTCATCATCTTTTGTAAATAGACAAAAAAAGCTAATTCACAAAAAATTTATCAAAAATTCCGAGAAAAAAACTTGAATATTCTCTGAGACTATTAAGTCATACATTTGCCAAGAGCCACGTCGCTTCACTCTGCATGAATGGATGAACCTCATCACACCACAGATGGCAGTAACGTGAAGCCATCATCTGCATATTGTTGCTCCTGAAGTTATTCGGTCCTCTGAGCGAGCAGAAGGTCCAGAAACAAGAAGCATCCGTTCCTTTCATGTCCCTTATGTTGTTCTTTTATGAACATAATGCTGACGGTCTCAGTATGTTATTATGTTACGTTGTCAGATGAATCCCAAATATTGCTGTTTCTGAGGACCTCTCTGACAGACAGCCTCTGAAGGACAAGAAGGTCCTGGAAGATGAAAATAAATAAATACTAATATAATTCATATATTTATAATTTTTCTTTATTCTTTATAATTTCAGAGAATATCCAAGTTGTTTTTTATCCCCGGCTGCGTGATTTAAAATATATATTTATTTTACCTACGATGGCCTCTATACATCTTCATAATTAATAAATAACAAATCTAATGATTGTTGAAACTTTGACACATTTGCACAATAAACAAGAACGTTTTTGTTTTTTTTTAACATTTGATTTGCGGTTGTGAATCCTGAATTCATCCTCTGAACTCTGCTTTCAATCCGTAACCCTGGTAACCCTGGTACCGTTGTCCCTCTCATCCTCTTCATCCTCTTCATCCTCTTCCTGTCTCACTAACCCAATCAAACCCCCAACGATCCGATCCAAAACGTTGCTTGCTGTGGTGGCGGGGTCGGCCATCTTTGTTTTGGGCTGTCACTGACCGTCTGCCTGTGTGACTGGCTGCCTCGCCGCCCTCGCTGCCTGCTTTGGTTTGTAGAGGATGTCACTGACCGCGGCGCTGTCCCCGCAGTCCAACTGCCGCCCAACGTCTTCCAGAACTACGGCGAGGCCGAGGAGGAAGACCCCTACCGCTACTACGAGCCCAACTACCCGGCCCCGCGGCCCGTGGCCCCCGACGACCCGACGCTCCAGCAGGACGACGCCGGCGTCCACCGCGTCTCCCGGAGCCTGGAGGGGGAGGAAGAGAGAGTCGGGCCGAAGAGGAGGCTAAAGAGAGCAGCGAAGACGCCGCCTGGACTCATTTAACGAGGAGGAGCCGATTGGAGGCCACTCGCTGTTTCTGATTGGGCGGTTTGGAGTTACGGACTAATCAACAAGTGCCTGATGTTGAGGATTTCTTATGGACATTGTAGAGGGGACGGGGGGCTTTATCAGGTTGGGACTATTTGAACTCATCTATGCTTTTGAATTAACTCCAAGAAAACAGGTTTGATTTGTTTTTGTCGTCGTCTCAAAATGGATTCAGCTTCACATGGTTTTTATATTTCACGGTCCCGCGACACGTCTCTCCGTTAACGGGTTCGTCATCAGGTCGATTGGAGAAAAGGAAGCCGGTCCTGTTTGTCAGCCTTCAGTTCTTCTGTTTGTCGTTTACCTGGTTGGTTAAAGTGCCTCCTGATCATCCTGCTGGAAGATTCTGGAAGAAATGTTAAAAATACAGAAATGTTAAAAAGCTGCAACAAAGCATTGATACACAGAAACACGTGCAGGTTACCAACGAGCAACGTCGTCACTCTTTGTGTCTTCATATATATATATATATATATATATATATATATATATATACATATTTACTCTTACTTTAAATGGTATGACTGCAGAGCTAACATCGTGACAAATTCAAAAGGTGGAAGCTGTGACGGTTAACTGGTGTTTTTAAATGATTTTTCATGTATCTGTCAGGGACGATGAAGAAATGATGATACATTTTAAATAAATTAAAAAAAGAGATTTTTTTGTACAAGATTTAGCGGCTAGCTCGACATTAATACAACTAAATAAATACTGATCTGATATACATTTAAATTCACAACACAAGATAAGTATTTGATTTTGTTTACTAAATACTGAAATTATAAAGTCACACACTTTACGACCGAGGTGCTAACGGGTAACCACCTCAAACCACCGCCTGTAAATATACAGATTATGTTCTCTCTCCGTAAACAAACTAAATAAGAAACAACGATTCTATGCAGACGATTCAACGGAAAACATCCACAAATTTCTGACCAAACAACAGGAAGTGAAACATTTCTAGTCGAAACCTGCGTCTTATTTTGTTGTTTGAAAGGCTCCTAAACTCTCCAAGAAGTTTCCATCTTCACTACAAAAATACACAAAAGCGTTTATTTATGTCAAGTTCTGCATGTTTCTGTTTTCCATTTCTCCCGTGATGTTTTTATTCTCGTAGAGCCGGAGACTCGTTGTACTGTCACATATCAGGATTTATTATGTTTTGTCATTGTTACAGTATTAAGCTCTGTCTTTGAGAAGGTTGATGAACAGAAATGCGTTGTAAGAAACAATAACAGCTGATGTAAAACAGAGTTATTATATTTCTGAGTAAATGTATTTTGGTTTATGTGTCGAGTTTCTGGATCCAGTCTTTGGATTGATCCGCCTCCATTTGTAACTTTTATTTTAACGTTAATTTTCGTTGTTCCAGGACAAAAGTCTTTGGTTTCATTTTTCACATTTTATGCAGAAACTGGAGATTGATCTGAAAGCTGATTATATAAAGAGTCCAGCTGTACTCTGTTAACGTCGCTCTCTCTTTCTGAGCGAAATAATTTGCCAAATATTCAAGCACATTTTAAACTTGGTATTGATTTTTCTCAAAACAATAAAACTGGAGTACGACCGCTGTTTCCTGTCGTGTGTTTGGTGTTAAACTGTCGCTCAGCAGGTGAAGTGACTCGACTCTAGTTCATCCGGCACTGAGCAGGAAGATGAAGCTCTTTGTGGAGCTGAAGGAAGATGATTGGAAACCAGCAGGTGAGCTGCAGCTCAGGATCCAACAACACCACAGCTCTGCTCTCAGAGAAGCAGAGTCAGACCGGGTTCTACAGCAGCTGATCTAGAACCTGAACCACCGTCAACAAGAACCTGCTGCCTCTCTGTCATCCACCCTGCAGACAACCGAGGATGCTCCTGTCCAGCCCTGGGGGGATATTGTTACGCTTACACTGCAGAGCAGAGTGAACATCTAACTATAAAGAGTGTGTGTGTGTGTGTGTGTGTGTGTGTGTGTGTGTGTGCGTGCGCGCACGCGCATGCACCTCCTGCTGTTGAGCTCAGCGGGTTGAGGAGCCTCTCGGGTGTAAATATGATCTGAAGTGTGGATGAGAGTGATTAATTATTCACGTTCACAGAGTGAGACCCGGGCCGGGAATCAATTATCTCCTGCGTCACCACGAACACGCCCGAGCTGCTCTCATCCTCTCATCCTCTGTGTGAGGACGGCTCGGAGCTGCTTTAACGGGACGAGTTCCTGCAGATATATTTACTTTACATCCTTTTACTTTCATTGCTTCAGCAACATCTGTATCTGAGATCTGTTAGATGTAGTAGATTTCCTCTCACACTGTTTATAATGTAAATATTAAAGTACGTTCTTTCCCTCCCGTCTGTTTGTTCATGAAGTGAACTCGAGTTGTTTAATTATTATTTATGTTTAATTTTCCTGAAGGAGGGTGTTATTGGAGCTCTGAGAGGCAGATCTCAGTAGTGTTCTCTCCTGTATTTATCATGACTTAAGAACGAGTCAAATAAAGGTTTTGCTCGGTTAATATTTTGAATTTAGCTTTTTTTTCATCTGTAACACATGACCCATTTAAAAGGAGAAGGCATTGTTGACTTATTTGTCACATGACTTCCTAACTTCAGTAGTTATTTTAATCCAAACCACCATCTTTCCCTAAACCTATGAAGTGGTTTTGTTGCCTAAACTTAACTAAGTTGTTTCCTGTGAAGACGGAAGTTATTCCACTAGAGGCTCCACGGCCTCATCTTCTAAGTGAGACTGAAAGCGTTCATGTTTTCTTTACTCACCTGGGGAAAGAAGACTAAACTAGATTTCTCTGTTTGATCCTTTAAAAGCGTTTCTGCTCAAACATACTGAATTGGAGGAAATGAGGATCAATACATCCAGAAGCTACAGATATCTGAGAGCAGGAAGTGGTTCAAGAGGTTAAAAGAAAAGAGATGGAGGACGATCTAACTAGAGGAAGAGGATTCAGGACCAACACATGATCATTCATGCATTGGTCCTCTGAGGACGCCGGTCCAGGAGTTAAAGGAGGACAACACTCCCTGCTCTGCTTCAGCGTGTCGCCTCCTTATAGAACCAGCGCGTGAGTCTGAACTCAGAGCTCATGTGAGGCTGCGTCATCAATCGCAGAGACGCTGAATGAATCCAGGAACATTAACTAAATGAAGATTGATCTCTGTCACTTTTCTCAGTGTGAGCTTCTCTTTAATTCCCTCTTTCTTTTAATTTAATATATATTTTAATAGAAATATTCCCATTTTTCTGCAGCAAAGAACACTGAAATAAACTGATCACAAAAACACCAACGCTCCTCTTTCCTCCTGTCTCTCTTCACCGCCATGCTTTCTCTATGAAGTTCAGAAAGCATGTTTTATTTCAACTTCCTGCTTTAAAAAAAATATCCGTTAAATATGTCAAATATTCGCAGAAGTATTTCACATTTTCCTTTTGTTTAGTCATCACCCCCCTGATGTGTACAGACCTTAAAGCATGTCAAAATGTTCTAGTAGAAACACTAAATATACCTGAGAATGAGCCCGTGTCTCCTTTAACGTGAGCAGAATGTCAGTTTGCATGGAAACGAGGTAAATTAAAGAGGAATTAATGAGCTTTAATTCTGACACAATCAGCAACACACACATCATACCGTGTTTGTTTTGTATCCGTCCAACAAATACAATTCATACCTCTTAACTTTAAAATGCTGATTCTGTTTCTGCTTTTATTTGACAGAAACTAAACCAGTGCACAGTGTGCAGTTCAGGGGCCGTGGGAGTGTCCAGTGTTTCCACACAGAGCCGAAGCACTCCTGCCTTTCTGGAAACCTTTAGGTATCTGCCGCTGATGTATATTCAGAGGAAAGAGGAGTTTAAAATCGAGCTGCACCTTTAACGCCGTCATGGCAGCAGCTGCTGGTGTGGTTTGAGGGGAGGACACTCGTGGTGGCCCGTCATCATCACAAGAGCTCAGCGTGTTAAACGCAGTAATCACAGCTCTCAGGCTCTGATGAGGTTGATTGTAATTAGCCCGCCAGTGAAATTACAGCATGAGCGGAAGATGTTTGCTCTCTTTGTTGAGTTTTATTGGAATCACAGAAACTGAGAACGAACAGAGAGCTGGAGGAAGAAATCTGTGAAATTCAAATGATCTGTGTGCATTTATATCTTCTCTCTTTTCCTTTGACCTTTCACTGGGATCTTTAGTCTTTATTAGCAGAGATGAGAAAGGTCTCGACTCGACTCTCTGTTTCTACACCGACTAAATGCTGCCCTCGTATGGTGAAGGTGACGTACAACACATACCAGTGAAATGTATACACCTCTTTTTCTTTACTCTCTGTTTTATTTATATGATATTCAAATGAATTAACTGTCTGAATGAGCTAATGTTGGAGACTGTTTGTAAACACAGTTCATTTAAATGTGATGAAACTTAATCTTCAGTGAGTCCTGAGTGTATTAATAAAGAGGAACACTTATTAATAAAGAGGAACACTTCACAGTTGCTGACCTGCGGTGGTTCAACTGGGATGTAGAAGTGAACTCCAGGTGTGACGGTGCGCTGTGACATCACTGTTGGGCGTTGTTACTGAGCACACTTCAGCCATGGCGTATTAGCGACGCTGTACAGAGAATGTAAATACCGCCAGGGTAACAATTGTTCTAAGCGTATATGAATGCGTGTGTCGATAAGAAGAGGGATTTATTGTTTGGTTAAATTACGTGAATCTTTTGTGTTCTGGATCTTTTCTGTTTGTCTCAGAGTCGGCGTGCTGAACATTCGTCCAGCCGGAGTCGACGTAATGAATGTGACTCCTGAATATTTCTTCTCTAGTCCGACACATGCGGTTCACATTCTGGGTCCAGATCCACCAAATGAGATTAGATCAGAATCAGTGAGATCAAACCCCATGTGACTGAAGCTGACCAATGAATGAATAACTGTGGTGACATGTGAACTTAAGGCTTCAAACAGACATCTGATGCTTTAGAAGAAAGACTTGTATTATTATATTATGATGCTGGAGGAGGTTCAGAGCCACATATGTTCTTTTGGAAACAACTAGACAAAACAATGCCAACTCGAGGTCCATTCAAGGAGCTGTTCTGGAGCTTTCTACCCCATCACATGATCTTCTTCAGCAGTTTTCACAGAATTGTAAATGTTTAAAAGACACTTTAAAGGGACTTCTTGTCCATGCTGGTCAAAGTCCACCAAGATAAAGCCCTGAGAAATACTTTTTATAACAAACTTCATCTCCTGAAGAAGATCATGTGATATGACTGAAAGCTCCTGAGCAGCTGCTACATAGACAATTCTCACCAGCTCGTCTCTAACTGTGTCTGTCTGCTGTTTGCTGCTGAGCCGGCAGTGCACAGTGGCATTTTTTACCGCTTTTATTGTGAAAAACAATGACGTGAGAGCAGCTACAGTGAACCAGAACAGTAAGTGTTGTGATTAAGATATTGATTGTAGACGCTTGGGCATCAGATCTCAGCA